GCGTCATGAACGAGAAGTACATCTGGCTGTCCGCATGCAGCGGCAACTGCCAGTACCCCTTGGTCCAGTCCAACGTGAAGTACACGTTCGTTCCGACCAGACAGACCATCGCGCTGTCCAGGTTTGGCATCGGCCAGGGCATCGGCTCCGTGCAGGCGTTGATCAGTCTGCTGTCGATCGTCATGCGCAAGTCGCCGACTTCCTTCTTCGGCACGATCCTTGGGGCTGCGGCCCACGTAGCCCGGTTGTTTTGGTATACCATACCATTCGCTTCCAGGGTAGCCACATGGCTGCGCATGTACTCCACATGCAGCGGCGGGTACCGCCGCATCCCACACTTCACCGGCGTCGAGCCGGGTTTGATCCGAACCTTCAATGGCTCGACCTTGACTGGCGGATCGTCGCCCAAGTCTTCACGGAACACATCAATGTGTCTAGCCAATAAGTCGTGCAGCCGCGTCGCTTCAGCGGGCGCAAGCCCGCGCGTCTCCGCCTCGGCTGCCTTGGCCGTCAGAATGGCTTGAACGACGCCCTGCTTCGTGCGGCGGCGCTCCGCCTCGTCCTCAACGGAGGTTTTGGGATAAACCTCCGGAGTAGCACACTCCATCCCGTCGTCGGGGTTAAGCTCCGGCGGATTCAACTTCTCCATCAGGCGCTTGAGTTCGCCATGCCGGACAATTCATTTGTCGGCACGGACGAAACGTCCCATTCTTCCTTCTTCTTCCTTGCTCCGACAAGGAGGTCTTCAACGCTGAAGCCCAGTAACTCCATAACTGGGCGACTCACGATGAGTTTGGTTGCAGTCGACGCATCGTCGACCCAGGCCTTCAGACCGCGCAACACAAGCGGTCCACACGTCGTGTCCAGCATCACGCAGTTAAACTTGACACTGCGCGTCGTCACAACTGGCTTGTCGTCACTGCCATACGGGTACGCCAAATGCGGCACGCTATGGGAGACGGCCCCAACTTTGACACGGGCTGCGTCCAACGCATCCATGACGCCGCGCGTGACAACGGTCACGTCCGAACCAGAGTCCAAGAGCACATCGTCGACGCGGACGATATTCTCCAAGAGCACACCGCACTCTGTCTTCTGTCGCTGCGGCTGGTTGACCAGCACCTTGATGCCGTCCTTCCAGCGCTTGACTTGCGCTGCCAACAACGTTTCGTCTTTGCCAGGCGCGGTTTTCGGGCACCGCGCCACACGGTGACTTATGTCTCCGCACTTCAAGCAGCCCTTCTTGGCAGAGGGCTCGGCATTCTTGGGCACGATCGTTCCGGCCTTTCCGCCGACTATGCCATTGTTCTTGGTGACGACTTCCCGGCCGCCTTCACGTCTTGGGGCTTGGGGCTTGCCGCCTCGTGGAGCTTCTACCGGCTTCGCTGCCGGGGAAGGTTTAGGCTCGTCGTCGAGTCCAACGTACAGCTGGTGGCCAGCTGCACAAGCTCGCAGCATAACGGAATCAACGCGTTGCTCTGATGCAAATGCAGCTGCTTTTGGACCACTGTCTTCAGCGATTCTGGCTTCGACGGCCATCTTGCGTTCTTGATGGAGAACCCACTCCTGATGGTATTGTTCTAGCGAACACATCAACTCGTCCAACATACGACCGACGCGAGACTCCGCGTTCAAGAACTTCTTATCGAAATGACTCGCTCGCTGCAGACGTGACTTCGAAACGTCCAGGTCTTGAGGGTCTTCCTCAAACGCTGACTTGAACCACGCGACCCACTCATCGTTCGTGATGGAATGGTGGTCGCGGTTGAAGTCGAACAGCGCGATCCGGCGCTTCGAGAACGGGTCCATGCAGGCACTCACGGGCATCGCGAACGGACGCGATCCATTGCACTGCAGAGCGTTGATCTGCCCCCCAGATACTTCTGGTACTCGCGCATAAAAGCGCGTCTTTCGGCCTTGGTCGAGCCCGAAAATGTCGGCGGCTGAGGGAGCGCCGGTGCGTTCCAAACTTGCGGTGCCGTACGGCCGTAACCGCCATCGCTGCCCATGTCCGTATCGTCACGGACGTCCGACGGGTCGTTGTCGGGTGGCAACGGCATTGAAGCGCCATCTGCTTCAGTCGTTGGTGGTGCAGCAGCTGAGACAAACGCCGCGACAGCTGGTGTTCCTCCGATTGTGGCAGGGGTGTAAAACCCACCACGTGGCCGTTGCCACGGGTTCTCAAAGGTGCGCCGAGCAGTGCGTCCTAGCGGCACCTCGATCCGGTCACGCGACTGCGATCGTTCTTTGGCGTTCGTTGGCGTTTCCTCGTCGGAGGAGTGTTCGCGTACTATCTCCAATGAATAGCTCAACAATGAACTAAAGATATCTTTGTTTTGTCCCCCGCTTCTTCTCGGCTTTCGGCCACGGGACCTTCGTCAAGGTTGCAAATATAACACTGACATTAGTGAGGTTAAACACGCCACGAGGCGCCTACTGAAATGACACCATTTACTAAAGTACTCAGTATCTCCACTAAGGTATCGGAACCTTTGACACGACACACACACAGAGTGTGTGTGTTTGCAATGGGTCAAACTAACGCGCGACACCCAATTGCTCTGCAGGCTGAAGAACAGTAATATCTCCGTTACAACGAAATTAGGTTCACACACAAGAGATATGGCGCTAGCACATTTACATCGTCGTTGTCACAATAAAATGGCCGCTTTCACACAAAACCAGTCGTTAACGTTATGACAACAATTCCGTCGTCAACACAAACATGGGGCGCTGTCGCAAACACGTCACGTTTACTGTTAATAAATGAGTATGGATTTTTCCTGTGCCAATAGAGTCACAGACCAAGTAATTTTGGTGACGATGGTAATATGATGCCCGTCACCTATAAACTACCAACTTTTCACAAAATTTTCTGACGTCTATTTCGTATTCATTACTAGTACTCAAAATTTCAACAAATTGAGACGTAGAATCGACAGATCTCAATGTGGTGAAGAAATTCTACATCTCTTGCAGTCATTCTACAGCACGAAGCGTAGAGTACAACGACTCAGCCACAAGGCATTGTAATGGAATCCTAGTGGCCATGTGCTGTGGTGCACAGTGTCTTCATGACACCAGTCGCCCTCAGCGAAACCTTGTCAGTTTGTGGCGTAGGCTGAATTCCACCCCCTACTCCACAAGCCGACATAGCTCCAAATCAATGTATCCATACGTAGGATATAGCTACGCTACAGCAGATTTCTTGCACAAACAGCAGCAATAAGACCAGACCGGTCAGAATGTGTGTGAGGGCAGGAACCCCCTGCAAGTGGTGGCCGGTGCTTGTGGGCCTGAGACTGCAAATTGAACAATGAAGTCTTTGTAACTTATGATTGGCTACAAATGAAATGTATGAAACCAATCAGAAGGCATTATACTTGGACACCCTCGACAAGGCTGAAGCACGGTGGTGGGCTCGCTGTCCCTCCATGCCTGACTGCTGTAGTTCCCTTGCATAGGGTATATATACCCTTGTCGAGATCAATCTTAGCTATGATGGCAGCAGTTGCTATGTACCTGTCATTGTGCTCATTTGTGATGGCAACGTCACACACAGCACTTTAGTAATCTGCGATGAACGTGAGCTACCTTAGGCCATTGTGGTTGTACTGTACAGTAGTGGAGAATAGAAACCTGAACCTTGCATGAATTTGAGTTCACAATGCGTCATGCAATATTTAATTATGTGTTTACGTCTGTGCGCTGTACCTTGAGTGAATGGGCTCAACGACAGGATATGCAGTAGGTGCTACCAGTAAAAGTTTAGACTTAACTATGAGTCGTGGGGTATCCACATGTAGATGTCTACAGTGGCCCCTCATGTCATTATGACTTCCTCGTAGTGTTGATCGTTATAATTGCTTCAATGTGCAACCCGTGCATAGTTTACACCCTGCAAGGCCCTTCGGTACCCTCCACAATAATTCCATTCCACAGCATCCCCCCACGCTACTACA